GTAAATATACTGCTACAAGGCGGCCCTGTGCGCAGGATCATGTATATAAATGTGATCCTGCATTCTGGGGTAGGGGGCGCGCGCCATAAGTCGCTGATCGCCACTATTATTAATAAGATAAGGTAAGTGAGCGCAATCTCAAGCCAGCAGCTAACATACAGGGCAATCCTCAACACCTAAAATAGTAATATAGATAAAAGGTATGCAGCGCTATATAAGGTATTGCAATAAATAAATGGTAAAAGAATCATCCGTATAACCCAGAATCAGCATAAATCGATTCATAGAGAAAGATCGATATGAACAGTCAATCAGACGTGAACAGTCTTAAATGCGATAGTGTTTGGTATATTCCAGATATAGTAGGGCTTGTAGAAAAATCCAGTAAAACCCTTTGACAACGAGCGTGGCTCGAAACATGTTAAGGGATCCGCCCAACTGACGCCATTAACTACCAGGGAGCCACTAGCCACCAGGAAGCCTAGATATTAGACCTGGAGGCCATTCATTGTTATTTGATGTGAGTTCAATAAATGTTCTATTTGCTATACACATATTAAAGATGTACTTCGCTATCATCACCATTTTGCCCCTGGCTCGTTATTTACGAGCCCCGTCAGGGACGAGCTTTTTGGAGGAGTATTATCTGGAGTGGACTACGTTGGACCTGCCGGTGAAACCTCAATCACCCCCGAATGTCTGCCATGGTGACCGTATGCTGCTTCATTTGCTGACCAGGCCCTGATGTCCACTGTTATACATACAACGCTCAGTGTGTATGTCATTGTGGTAAGCGCATAATTTTACTGGATTTTTCTACAAGCCCTACTATATCTGGAATATACCAAACACTATCGCATTTAAGACTGTTTACGTCTGATTGACTGTTCATATCGATCTTTCTCTATTAATCGATTTATGCTGATTCTGGGTTATACGGATGATTCTTTTACCATTTATTTATTGCAATACCTTATATAGCGCTGCATACCTTTTATCTATGCCACTATTATTAGTATAAAAAAAAAAAAATCAGTATCTATACTGCCATTTGTAAACACTATAACTTTCATGTAAACCAATGAATTTACACGTATTGGGATTTTTTTTTTTTTTTAGCAAAGACGTGTCGCAGAATACATTTTGGCAGAAATTTGTGACGAAATTTGATCTTTAATTTTTTTTACTGGACATGTTTTATAGCAAAAAGTCCAAAATATTATTTTTTTTTCCTCAAAATTGGCGGGCTTTTTTTTTTATAGTGCAAAAAATAAAAAACACACAGGCGATCAAAAACCACCAAAAGAAAGCCCAATTTGTGGGGAAAAATGTAAATATACTTTTTGGTGCAGCGTTGCATGACCGCGCAATTGTCAGTTAAAGTAACACAGCGCTGTAACACAAACCGATTATGTAACCGCTTCCTAACCGTCCTATAGCAGAAATACTGCTACAGGGCAGCAGAGTTGTGCAAAAATCACACACACATATACATATATATATATATATATATATATATATATATATATATATATATATATATATATACACGCTCCCGTGGTTTTCACGGCCCTCCCAGGTGGCGTCAGATTGCCCGTCAGTACACCAGTCATCACATTTAACCCCTTGATTGCCAGGAAGACGCTCATACACAATAAACCTCCATTGCTAGTATAGTACCTGAACAGATCAATATCTTTGATCAGATCAGCACTATAACAGCGTTCACATTAGTATAGCGTCCCCAAAAACACAGCGTTAGCGGGATCAGCCCCCCCCCCTTCTCCCCCAGCAAGTGCAGTGTCAGTAGGTCACTGTCACTTGATACACTGCACACAAAACCGCAGTGTTCGCAGAATTAGGCCTGATCTTGGTTAGCGCTTGCCAGTAAATTTTTTTGACTCTCATATGCAGCAGAGTGCCAGTACTAGTGCTGCGCTACCTTTTGGTGAACTGGCGAGCACCCAGTGGTCTAGTACATCCTGGTCTCTCACATACCTCTTAGATTGTAAGGATCAGGCCCTCCTAACCCTCTTGTTATTTAACTGTATTGTCTCCCGTTATATTGTAAAGGTCTAAGCAAACTGTTTGCGCTATATAAATCCTGTATAATAATAATACCAGCACTGCAGTATGACTTGGCGACATGGCGAGTCCTATAAGTGCAGTACAAGCTGGTGCGGTGGTGAGCACAAGTATTGTCCAGCATCCAACAAGAATTTGCACACAGACCCATAGAGCTCCTTACAATTGGCAACCCACAAATTCTGCAGCACCCGTACTTCCCCCATTCACTGCCCAACCCGGAATTCAGGTGGAAATAGCAAATTTAACTACTCCCCTAGATTTTTTGGAGCTGTTTTTCACGGACAATCTGTATGCATTGATTGTGGATCAAAGCATTTTATATGCACAACAATGTATCGCCGCCAACCAAAATTCAAACCTTGCCAGACCATTCGCATGGAAACCCAGTACGGTTTTCAAATTTATATTTTTTTGGGGCCTAACACTCAACATGGGCATTACTAAAAAAAAATGAATTGTGGTTGTATTGGTCCACAGACCCGATTCATAATATGCCGTGTTCTCTGCTGCTATGGCCAGGCATAGATATGAGAGTATAATGCATTTTATGCATTTCAATACACTCTGTCTTCCTTGAGGTCACCCTGAATTTGACTGGCTACACAAAATTCAGCCCCTCACAAATCACCTTAACCAAAAATTTGCAGATGTCTATACTCCCCAAAAAAATCTGCAATGATGAGTCCCTCATTAATTTTTCTGGCTGCCTTGCATTCAAACAATTTCTCCCCAGCAAGCGTGCCAGATATGGGGTCAAGATGTAGAAGACCTGTGAGAGGACAACAGGCTATACTTATAAGTTTCGGATTTAGTCATTGCGGTTGAAAAATCGCTACACGACTACTATGTGACATAAAAATTGCAGCACCCATCATTTTATTCGCCAGGGTGTCTGAACTTCCAAACATTATATATTTTTATATTTTTATTAAAGCAAAGTAATTTCCTAGCACAGAACAAAAAATGTCCTAGAACAAAAAGTGTCAGAAAAGGCTTGGTCTTCAGGTGGTTAGAAGAATGAGTAATGTGTGGCATAAACTTCTAATGCTGGGCATAAAATGCCCCCACCCCCCAAAATGACCCATTTTTGGAAAGTAGACACCCCAAACTGTTTGATAAGAGAGTCAATAGAAGAATTTATTTTTTTTACCACAAGTTTATGGAAAATGACTTTTTTTTTTTTACACAAAATTGTCACTTAAATGATTTATTGCTCACACATGCCATGGGTATATGTGGAATTACTCCCCAAAATACATTCTGCTACCTCTCCAGAGTAGGGGGTACCACATGTGAGAGACATTTTGGCAGTCTAGCCAAGTACAGGACCCCAAAATCCAATCAGCGCCTTCAGGCTTTTAAAGGGCTTTATTTCCTCATTACACTTCCTGACTACCTATCACAGTTTTGGAGGCCCTGAAATGTCAGGATAGCACCAAACCCCCCCAACTGACCACTTTTTGGAAAGTAGACACCCCAAGGAATTTGATAAGAAGCATGGTGAGTATTTTGCAGATCTCGTTTGTTGCCACGTTTTTGGAAAATGAAGAAAAAAAAACCCAAACATTTTTTCTTTTCTTTTTTTATATTTCAAAACCTTGTGAGAAAAAATGAGATCTGCAAAATACTCACTATGCCTCTTTTTAAATTCCTTGGGGTGTCTACTTTTCAAAAAGGGGTCATTTTGGGGGGGGGGGGGGGGGTGGTGCTATCCTGGCATTTCAGGGCCTTCAAAACTGTGATAGGTAGTGAGGAAATGAAATGAGGAAGTTGCGCACACCTTCAGGCTTTCAAAGTGGTCATTGTATTTCAGGCTCCTGTATGTGGCTAGGCTCCCAAAAAGTCTCACATATGTGGTATCCCCATACTCGGTAGAAGTAGCAGAATGTATTTTAGGGTGTAATTCCACATAAGCCCACGGCTTGTGCGAGAAATATATCATTTAAAATGACAGCTTTGTGTAAAGAAAAAAAGAAAAAAATATTTTTGTAATTTTCCAGAAACGTTTGGGAAAAAAATAAATCGTCCATGGACTCAATATACCTCTCAGCAGATAGCTTAGGGTGTCTACGTTCCGAAAAGGGGTCATTTGGGGGTGTTTGTACTGTCCTGGTATTTTAGCACCTCAAGAAATGTGATGAGCAGTCAGAAAGGAAAAGCTGTGTAAATTCCATTATCTATACCATAGTTTGTAGACGCTATAACTCTCACACAAAGCAATCAATATACACTTATTGGGATTTTTTAACCAAAAACATGTAGCAGAATAAACTTGGCCTAAATTTATGCCGACATTTTAGTTTTTTTGGATGACAGAAATGAGAAATATTTTTTTCTCAAAACTTTTTTGTTTATAGCGCCAAAAATAAAATGCGCACAGGTGATCAAATACCACCAAAAGAAAGATCTATTTGTGTGAAAAAAAGGACATAAATTTTATTTATGTACCGTATTGCATGACCGCGCAATTGTCAGTTAAACTAGTGCAGCGCTGTATAACAAAAAAATGGTGTAAATTCCATTATCTATACCATAGTTTGTAGACGCTATAACTTTCACACAAAGCAATCAATATACACTTATTGGGATTTTTTTTTACCAAAAACATGTAGCAGAATACATTTTCGTCTAAATTTATAACTAACTTTGAGTTTACTATATATTTTTTATAGCTGATAGTAAAAAAAGCGCATAGGTGATCATATACCACCAAAAGAAAGCTCTATTTGTGTGAAAAAAGGACGTAAATTTTGTTTGGGTACAGCATTGCATGACCGCGCAATTATCTGTTGAATAAGTGCAGCGCAGAGTAGCAAAAAGAGGCCTGGTCAATAAGGGGGCTAAATCCTCTAGAGGGCAAATGGTTAAATATAAAGATGTAATGCATTCTTAGTCAAAAACATATTTCTTACTTGGTAAATGAAGTTGACATTTGACGAAATGAATTTGGCTTTGTAAATATTTCCATCCATCCATCTAAGCTCTACCATCTCACCCTCTGCTGGTGGACCATCCTGAATGCAATCCCTGTTCTGAGACAAAGAGTAAATAGCATTGCATGTATATAAATACAATTTAGGAGGTTTAGAAACCATAGTATTTTGCAAATTTAAGAAAAAGACAGAATTCTGCCACAGGACTTTTGAGTCTGGTTCACACCGAATGCAACTTTGAAATTGTGCTACTTCAGCTGAAGTAGCGTGATTTCAAAGCCGCCAGTCAGTGCAATTTCATGTGCGGCTTGCCGACATCTGTGCGACTTCATGCACAAGTCGCACATGAGATTGCCAAAAATAATGCAGTAAAACTTTTTCGAACTCAGCGCAAGTTAAAGTTGCACCGATTTGAATGGTTCCATAGGTAATATAGTTCCATAGACAACTAGGGTGCGACTAGTCATGTGATTTTGAACTGTCAAATATCAAGATAAATTGCACTGGTGTGAATGGACACTAAATCAACCATGTATAAAATAAGTAAACCATTATTTTAGTATTGTTTTCTTAAAATTACAGCCATGGGACTAGTTCCCCTTCAGGTCCGCCTTCCCTGTGAGCTCCTCATTTCCCAATCATCATCATTGCCATATTTATCACCATTATCTCCAGCCCCTTTGTTTACATTTAGCTTTCAGCCAGGGAAATCTCCCAACTGACAGATGAATGGGGATAAAGCCCTGTGAAGGAAGTTATGACAACTTCCCACCACAGACACCCCTTAGCATTTGCATACGTCTGTACACCAGCTCAGAGCTGGTCCTAATTACCCCCAGTTTTCAAATCTGCGAACTTGCAGTAGTTAATTAAGAATCTGTTGCAGCCATAGTTCTTAAAGTGGCAGTAGTATGAACTACCTGAATTTGACACGTTTGACGCGTATCGGTAATGTTACTGAAACAAGCGCAAATGCCTGGCTGAATTTGGATCAGGTCGTCTTAAATGGGAACTACCACCAGAAAATTGTGGTTGTTGCTTAATTTATCTGCTCCTTCCCATCTAGGGAAGAAACAGGTACATGAAGGATCAGTGCTCCTACTAGGCCCAGGGCCTAATAGGACAGGGACTGATCAGAGAGGTACTGTCAATTAACCTCTTAGCGCCGACGCCACAATAATATGCAGCCTCACAGAGGGATTTTTTTCTTTGGGGAAGCAGATACATATTTTCATATCTGTCTTTATGCTGGCAGCGCGCTGTGGAGTTAAATGGATCCACTTATGTAAACGGTGCAATTATAATCCCCCCTCCCCTCTTTTTTTTATAAGTCACATAGCTTCTGTTCTCAGCTGCATAAAAGAGGAAAAACGGCAGTTCACTAAACTTCCCATTGCAAGGCTGTGTGTGGGGGGAGGGGTTGCGTACTAAGACAAGATTGAACATTGGAGGACAGCAAGCGGAGTTCCCAGCACAGCTAGAAAACTGGTACTATTGTGCTCTCCTGCTTAGTGTGGTCAGTTTTTAATGCAGCGGGACTGGCAGAAACACCAGGGATTTCACACAGAGAACCGGATACTTTTCCATATGTACAGCAGGCACAGTTCAGGAATATGACATTTTGGGTTTCCATTTAACCATTTCCCCTCTGCAGCATTTATTTCATTTTTTGCAGACATGCTAGATGTCCATTTTTGGATAAAAATGATTTAAAATCCCCAAAGAGTATATATTTTCTGAAAGCAGAGGTTCCTTAGAATAAAAAGATGGTAGTTGCAATGTTCTGGGGCTCAAGATATTTGAGCAGCTGTATATCAAATTCAGATTTTCTGAGGAAAATACCCCAAAATTTATTTCAGTGCACAACCAATATAATTGGCACATTTGGTGTTTTATTCTTTACTTGACACAACCTCATCTTGCAAGAAAAATAGCAGTCTTCAAAACTGTGTGCACCCTCAAAACACAAAAAAATTAAGTTAACCAATTAGGTGATCGTTTAATTGCCTTTACAGTTCATCGTTTTAGAGTTACCTATAACTGAGAGACCTAGAATCTCTCAATCTCACCGCTCACACAATATGGTCCCCTAACATTGGACAGGCCTGCTCCAGCTTGCCAAACACAGGACTGTGCATGAGCAACTGTTTACCAGGCTTTATAGCTTATTTTTTGACCGCAGTGTGTGAACTTAGAACTGAGCTTTCTGGGTTTACAATCACAGAAAAGTTAAGGGAATGGAAATGACATGCTCTCCTCCCACTTGCCATCCCTGCTATTTGTTAAACACTTAAACCACAGAATGAACCATAGCTGGTGGGAAGGGGGGCTGCACCCACAAGCCACCCAGATAACTTTAAAACAAAATCCGTTAGCCTGCTGATTAGAAATAGATACAAGCTCACATCTGCTACTACAGCAGTGAGCTTGTTAAAGCTCTTCAGACGTATTAGCCTTGTGCAAAGAGCTGAAAAAGTTAATCACAAAAACTGAATCTGCAGTCTCTCATGAATTGAAAAAAACATATCGATTTACTATTTTATTCACAGTTTGCCTCTGTTCATCTGCATGGTCACATTCCTGGTTACAATAGATAAGTGTCCTGATTTCTTGATAAACCTAACAGCGCAAGAATTTTTACAGAATAAAAAAGGCTTTGTAGAGTTTGTGGAAGAGTTTACAGAATCACTCAGCATGGTCTAACGTGAAATGTGCCAGCTTGATTTCTTAACAAGATGCACAACAAACTACATACAAAAACAAAATAAAACCTTTATCATAAAGTCTGCTCCAAAAAGCAAAAATGGGAATGGAGAAGTGAAAGTGGTCACAAGTTGATTTAATTTGCTCTATTCAAAATGTTCATTCTTCTTGACTGTTAGCATTTCCACACTGCTTATTTAAAACATAATGCCTTAAATGCTCACAATAAAGGGGTGCATTTAATAAATACACTGTTCCAAATTATTATGCAAATTCTATTTAAGTGTCACAAAGATTAAATATTTTGTTTTTCAGTTTAACTCATGGATGGCATTGTGTCTCAGGGCTCTTTTGATCACTGAAAACAATCTCGGACACCTGTGATAATTAGATTGGCAGGTGAGCCCAATTTAAGGAAAAACTACTAAAGGAGGGTGTTCCACATTATTAAGCAGAGCACCATTTTCAAGTAATATGGGGAAGGTATGAAAACATTAGATATTTCACAAAAACTTAAGCGTAATCATTGCACTATTAAGAGATTTGTGGCTGATTCAGAGCACAGACGGGTTCGTGCAGATAAAGGCACATTGAGGAAGATTTCTGCCAGATCCATGCATCGGTTCAAGAGAGCAGCTGCTAAAATACCATTACATAGCAGCAAACAGATATTTGAAGCTGCTGGTGCCTCTGGAGTCCCACGGACATCAAGGTGTAGAGTCCTCCAGAGTCTTGCAACTGTGCATAAACCTTCTATTCGGCCACCACTAACCAATGCTCACAAGCAGAAACGGCTGCATTGGGCAGAAAAATACATGAAGACTACTTTTCAAACAGCCCTGTTCACGGATGAGTGCCGTGCAACCCTGGATGGTCCAGATGGATGGAGTAGTGGATAGTTGGTGGACGGCCACCCTGTTCCAACAAGGCTGCGACGTCAGCAAGGCGGTGGTGGAGTCATGTTTTGGGCCGGAATCATGGGAACAGAGCTGGGTCGGCCCCTTTAGGGTCCCCGAAGGTGTAAAGATGACCTCTACAAAGTATGTGGAATTTATGACTGACCACTTTCTTCCCTGGTACAGAAGGAAGAACAATGCTTTCCATAATAAAATCATCTTCATGCATGACAATGCACCATCTCATGCTGCAAAGAATACCTCTGCATCAATGGCTGCTATTGGGATAAAAGGAGAGAAAGTCATGGTGTGGCCTCCATCCACCCCCCTGACCTCAATCCTATTGAGAACCTTTGGAGCATCCTCAAGCAAAAGATCTATGAGGGTGGGAGGCAGTTTACATCCAAACAGCAGCTCTGGGAGGCTATTCTGACATCTTGCAAACAAATACAAGCAGAAACTGTCTAAAAACTCACAAGTTCAATGGATGCTAGACTTGTGAAGCTGCTATCTTCTGTTAAAATGTAACGTGACCTGTTAAAATGTTTAAAAAGTTAAAATGTTAAAGTTTGATTGAAATAGCTTTTGATTTCAGTAAATATGCTGCAAACACAACAAATGACAATTTTCAGTTCTTTACAACCTATAAAGTGTTTTGAAACTTACTGTGCATAATAATTTGGAACAGTGCATTGTAAGTTTAAGTTTAAAAAAAATACTGTTATCATTAGGAGGTTTGTTCAATAAAATTTGAATTGTACTCTTAACAGTTGATAACATGAGAATTATGCTGACTGTTATTTACATCAATTATGTAGGTACATGAGAAAAAGAGCATTTGCATAATAATTTGGAACAGGGTGTAATATATTGGAGTGATTCTTGTTGTAGGGAGGAGCTATTAATGAAAGTCCCTGGATTCACTATATCTGGTCTCTCACAGTACACAGAACATGGAAATGCAATTATTTTAGTAAATATAAACTGATAAATACCTTTTCTCATCAGCAGTTAGAGCAGTCTTGTGATTTCAGCAGAACACTGGTTAAAGCTTGTAGTTTTCTCAAGGAGGATGTGAAACCCTGACCCTCTGTTTGGACAGTGCTGATTGGCCCTGTGCTGATCACAGGGCCAATCATGTGCATGTGATCAGCACAGGGCCAATCAGCACTATCCAAACAGAGGGTCAGGGGTCCCAAGAAAAAAAAAACCCCTCTCTAGCAATAACACACCAAACTGAACAGGTGGTCATTTCAACAAGAGGAGGTGCAGAGAAGAAAGGATCAACCATCCTTTTACACAATGCATAGTAATCCTTAGGTTCCACAGGTTATAACAAGCATGCTTTACTGCATATACAGACTGATTTTACTGTTGTGGGTTTAGTTAATCAAGTTAATAATTTTGAATAACAGATCCTGTATAAAGCCACAAAAACAAATACAGAATCATTCAGCCTTACCATAATATTTTCAGGATATACATTATCACTGTAGGAGCCATCGTCAAAATTTACTTCATAAAAAATATGTGTAGCCGATCCAATGACCTGGCAACGATAATACAGGCCATTCCGATTTCGACTTATTACAGTTTGGCCAACACAGATGTCCCTGGAAACAGTATTCTGTAAAAACAGGATGGATAGCATTAAAAAAAACAAGAAAAACAAAAATAAAATATTAATTTAAAAATGAACACTCACACACTGATTTGCACTCATGTGTTTGAAGCAGGTAATTGATACAACATACGGCCAATCATCAGGCTTCATAGAAATGCCAGCCATGTGCGCACATGTGACATGGAAAGAGGTTGAACATCGATCAACTGAGCACTGGACGCAGGCACCAACCTCTTTGCGGATTTTACTCCGACAAAATACGCATTTCTATAATAAAAAATATGCAACATTAGTGAACATCCCCAGCTTATACAGATTGCATTTCATTGTCTTCCTTTTACATTGTAAGGCCTGGTTCACACCTATGCAGTTTGCATTTGATCCATTTCTGTAGTGCTAATTAAGGTGCTTGTTTTCCACATGCATTTTGCATGTGTTCTGGGGGGGGGGGGGGCAATTTGTTGTTGGGCAGATTAACCACTTCCTGGGCCAATTCTGAAATTTTTCTCATGTATGTAAAAATCAATTTTTTTCCCTAAAAATTATTTAGAACCCTAAACATTATATATATATTTTTTGTAGTAGAGGCCCTAGAGAATAAAATAGTGGTCGCTGCAATTTTTTTTTATGTCACAGCGATTTTTCAAACACAATATTTTTATTTTTTAAAATACACTTTAACCACTTGCCCTCCAGAGGATTTACCTCCCTTCCTGACCTAGGCCATTTTTTGCCATACGGCGCTGCGTTACTTTAACTGAAAATTGCGCAGTCATGCAACACTATACATAAATTAAATTTATGTAATTTTTTCCCTACAAATAGAGCTTTTCTTTCGGTTGTATTTGATCACCTCTGTGCTTTTTATTTTTTGTGCTATAAACAATAATTTTGAAAAAAAAAAAACACCAAACAATATTTTTGACATTTTGCTATAAAACATATCCAATAAAGAAAATTTTAAAAATCTAATTTCTTCAAAATTGTAGGCCAAAATGTATTCTGCTACAAGTCTTTGCTAAAAAAAGATCCCAATAATTGTATATTAATTGGTTTATGTGAAAGTTATAGCGTCTAAAAATGGTGGTATATATACTGGAATTTAAATTTTTTTTTATACTTGTAATGGCAGCGATCAGCGACTTATAGCAAGGCTGCAACAGGCATTCTGACACTGGGTGGGAACTGACTAACTGCCACTGACATCCCCAGTGATACTAATAAAAAAGCACTGAGTGCCAGACTGGGATTGCCGTCTGGGACCCAGTGATTGACATCCCCCGTCACCAATAGCAGCGCAAGTAGGGCAGTGCGCATGAGCCCCCTACCTGGAAATGCAAATCATGAATATATACGTGATTTTGCACAGCCGTGCCGCCCTGTAACAGTACTTCTGCTATAGGGCGGATGGCAAGCGGTTAATGAATTTTAAAAAAAAAACACAATAAATAACTAATTTTTTTATAAAATATGAAAGATGATGTCACACAGAGTAAATAAATACCCAACATGTCATGCTTTAAAACTGTGCACGCTCATGGAATGGTGTCAGACTATGGTACTCAAAAATCTCGATAGGTGACTATTTAAAAATTTCTACAGGTTACCAGTTGAGTTACAGAGGATTACGGATAATGAAAAATAAGGGGTAGAGGTTCATATAGATATTTACTGTATCACCCAACAGATGGCTTCCGTCCAGTAGCCAAAAAATATGCATACAAAAAAAAGAAGTTGTGAAAAAAGATTCACAGGAAAGCGGCTACATTTTGGACAGAATACGATATTCAGAATAATTTCCAAAAATTATGCTTTATTAAACATTAATAGTAGACAATAGGGTAATTACCCCCGGTTCACCATCACCTCAGTATGAGAAAATACTCAGACCTAAAACCACATTAAAACCACATCAAGAGCGGTTTAGATATGGATGTGCTGCATAGACAATGACAAATACCTGTCTAATGCATTTTCAGTACTGTCACATTGGTTACACTACCAGTAGGAGGTATATCAAAAAATTGTACCATCAGGTATTGTAATAACACGCTATGCAAAATGGCTAATATAGTCACCATATGGATGAGACATAACCCTTAGCCCATATAAGGCAATGTGGGTAAAAAAATTATTATTATATATGGGGAGGAATAGAGCCCCAATGATATCTATATAGACTCATACAATACAACACCTCTAGGGCACAAGTGAGTGGTACACATCCACACTAGGCAAATGCAAATCTGCAAATTATATATGAAAGAGTCCCTGTTAATGTCCTTGATGAAGTAAATGATGTAGGTGGCAGGGCCCTGCTTTACATGGTTTCTTCACAACGTGTGGACTATAAACCACTGTAATATACGTCATCACGTATATAGTCTACAAGTTGTGGTGAAGAAACCATGTAAAGCAGGGCCCTGCCACCTACATCATTTACTTCATCAAGGACATTAACAGGGACTCTTTCATATATAATTTGCAAATCTGTACCACTCACTTGTGCCCTAGAGGGGTTGTATTGTATGAGTCTATATAGATATCATTGGGGCTCTATTTCTCCCCATATATAATAATAATTTTATACCCACATTGCCTTATATGGGCTAAGGGTTATGTCTCTTCCATATGGTGACTATATTAGCCATTTTGCATAGCGTGTTATTACAATACCTGATGGTAAATTTTTTGATATACCTCCTACTGGTAGTGTAACCAATGTGACAGTGCTGCAAATGCATTAGACAGGTATTTGTCATTGTCTATGCAGCACATCCATATCTAGACCGGTCTTGATGTGTTTTTTTTATTTATTTAAATATTTATAAATTTTTTAAAGCAATAACAAAACACTTTCACCACATTCATAATAAATATACATGACTATTTCTTATTACTTTTCTTTTTCCCTCTTAAAACAATATCCCCCCCCCAAACCCCCCCCCCCACTCTGCATTCTTTCACTTCCTCTTATCCAAAGCAAGAATATCCTTAGCTTCCATCCACTCTATATCTTCCTTCCTTCACTTTTTTCACATTTACTTCACAGTTTTCCCATTTTTCCCATTTCGCATAATATATCTCCATCTTGTCTTCCTGCATATAATATAGCTTCTACATCCTGCTAATCCAGTTCACTCTCTCTATCCAATCCTCCTCTTTCGGTACTTCTGTTTTCCTCCAGTACTTCGGAATCAGGCTTTTTGCAGTGTTCATATAATACCCTAAACCTAATTTCTTATATTTGCTAGCTGATAGCTCTGAACTATGCAACAAGCACATCTCTGGGTCTAGCCCAATATTTATCTCAGTTATGGTCTCTATTAAGTGTACTATTGTTTTCCAGAATACTTGAATTTTTGGACATTCCCACCAAATGTGATACACTGTCCCCTCTTCTCCACACCCTCGCTAACACCACGGTGATTTTTCCCTACTTATCTTATGTTCTATGCTTGGTGTAATGTGCCATCTTGTTAAACATTTATAGTTTATTTCTACATCCCTCAAACTTACATTTTCGTGAACTAATCTATTTATTTTTTTTCTGTTTTTCTTGATCTAATACCACCCCCATGTCTCTTTCCCATTTCACTATGTGCATTGGTTTGGTGTTTGTGTCTAGTTCTGTGAGAATTCTATATATTTTAGCTGTTCCGTGTTTACCATTCCCCTGTGTATCCAACAACCTTTCAAACAAATTCCAATCCTTTTTCATTCTCAGAGGTTTTGGAAGATTTCCCCAAAAACATTTTAATTAGTGATAGTGCCACTCATCTAACTTAGTGAAAATCTTTCCCTTTTCCTTTACCAGATCTTTAAAAGACTTCAATTTCCCCTCCCCCATTATATCTCTCAGTCTTCCTTTTTAAACCATCTGCCTGCTATCTCCTCTCTACCTGGGGGAAAAAATTCTGTGTTTCTTAGTGGCATTAAAATAGAATTAAATTCCCACTTCATATATTTGTGTATTTTATCCCATTCCCTTAATACATTCCCAGTGTATAGACTTAAATCCTCTTTCAATCCTCTATATTGTGCTGGTAACCATATAATTCTATTCAAATTAGTTCCACAAATTGTATTCTCAATTTTTACCCAATTTTCCCCCATATTAAAGTCCAGTCAAAAATTCTTCCTAGTATTACTGCTTTGTAGTATCTCTTAATATCTGGAGCTCCCAAACCACCCCTCCCTTTGTCTCTACTTAATATTTCATAGGACACCCTCGGTTTTTTATTCCTCCAAATATATCTTGTTATCATTCTTTTTATTACCTTGAAAAAAGCTTCTGGCAGTTTAATTGGGATCATTTGAAATCTATATAAGATTTTCGGTACAATTATCATTTTTACCAGATTTATATACGACCTAACCATGATGGAATTCCTCTTTCTAAAGTTTTTAATTCCTCCTTCACTTCATTTAATAATGAAATATAGTTTTTAGTTTATACAAATTCTTATACACCGTAGTGAGCCTTACTCCTAAATATTTTATATCTCTTTCTTTCCAGATAAAGGGGAATTCTCTTTGTATTTTCTCTTTTTCACTTTTTGAGATATTTATATTTAGGATCTCAGTTTTTGTTGGATTGATTTTTAAGTTTGATAATTCCCCATATTCCTTCAGCGACTTCATTAAGTTTGGGAGTGTTTATCCTGGGATTTCCCACATAAAATAGCAGATCATCCGCAAAAGCTGCTACTTTATGCTCTATATCTCCTATCTGAATTCCCTTTATATCTCTATTCTTCCTTATTATAGACAACAGGGGTTCCAATGACATAACATACAACAAGGGGGACAAAGGGCATCCTTGTCTTGTTCCATTTGACATCCCAATGGGCTCTGTTTTTTCCCCATTTACTATAATAACTGCGGAGGGCTCCCTGTACAACTTTCTAATCCATTCCCTCATTCTAGCTCCAATTCCCAGGGCTTCTAAGGTATCCATAATGAAGCCCCAGTCTACTCTATGAAAGGCCTTTTCAGCGTTGATCGAGAGAACCAACGTCGTCGGTACCTCCCCTTTTCTACCTTTCTGTATAAGCAGCAGGGTTCTCAACCCATTGTCCCTACCCTCCCTTCCTGGGACAAAGCCCACCTGGTCCCCATGTATCCATTCAGGCATATGCTCCTTCAACCTATTCGCTAAGACCTTTGCATATAACTTGGTGTCTGAGTTCAACAATAAAATTGGCCTATAGCTAGAACACTGTGAGGCGTCTTTTCCTTCCTTATGTAACAATACTACATGAGCT